GAGAATTGAGATGCAAAAAAAGGAACATGAGAGTGATGGAAAAGGGAACAGACTTTCAAAGCAGAAAACAGAAATACCACTCAGACGTGCAGAGATGCAGAGAGAAATGGCAAAGCCCAACCATAGCCCAAACTGGCAAGAGATGCCAAGAATTGCAAGAAAGTACTAACATACTTACATGTGTTAGCAAGCAGAAGGACAAGGAAAAAGGTAGGTACACTGTTGAGTGGGGTTGGCAAGTTAGTTATAAATGACAGAGGGAAACCTGAAGATTTTCCTTCATGCTTCTTTGCCTTGAGCTTCATGAGGAAGGTCATCCTCCCAAGTTTCTATGGAAGAAATGATGAAGCAAATAATGAATGGCTGACAGTGAGAGAGGGCTGAGTTAGCTGTTATATGTTGGCTTCTCCCAGTTGCCACCTTCTCCTTCATGCCTGGAATTAGCCCATTCCATAATTTTTCAAGGTACTCAAGTGAGGCTGAGTCATCTGTAATTTCCCAAATCATTTTTTTTCCTTTTTTGTAGATGGCTGTAGTATTTGCCCTTTTCCAGTCAGCTGGGACTTCCCCTGAACTCCACGACCTGTTAAAGTGTGCAGTGACATTGGCCAACCCTCCTAGCAGCCTCACATTCTACCCAAGTCCCACTGGACTTGTATATGTCCTGGCTATACAGGTGGTCCCAAACAGTCCTGAGCTCCCTTACTCTCCTTGGAAACCTTTCTAACACTTTCATGCAAAGCTAAAATCAGGAGCAATTTTGTGTATGATCATCTGCATATATTGCATAGAGATATGAGACTGACAATAGAAACATGATGCAATAGACTTGTCAACTTTGATGCAAGTTAAAAACAGGTGCAACATGCAAGGATCAATCAAGTGGTCAGGCAGGCTAAGGAATGAACCAGAAGGGCTGTGGTAATCCTCAGACAAAACAAAGAAACCATAAGCCAACTAGGCTTAAAGAAGAATAAGAAAAAGCAGTGTTAAAACACATCTGGTAGGACTCTGGCATACTCGTCTACTGCAACATGGTTCCTTAATGTTATGCTGTCATTGCCTTGTTCATAAGCCAGAGAGAATGGCAATAAACCATTTTTCTCCTAAGTTCAGGCTAATGTATACTCACATTTTACAACACAATGTCTGGCAATGTGACACGTGCTGGAGAGCCCGAAGGCAAGACCAGAGGGCTAGCAAACCTTGCTGAAGAGACAACACGATCAGCTTGGCAGCCACAACCAACTCTGGTGCTTGGCAAAAGGAAAAACCAGGCAACCACACTAACACAGTGGGAGCAATGGCAAATGCAGGTGTACTCTGGGATCTGCCCAGGTGCTGGTAGAACTGAATTCTCCACTCATTGCAGATTATTTTTAAGGGGACGGTGGTGGTGGTGAGTGGGCACTGCTGCCTAATTTGAATGGAGATACCTGATACAACTATAGCTCTATTAAATACCTGATTAGCACAGAGACATCCTTCAGCAGGGTTCTATTACTCAGCAGGGGTATAATTACTCAGGTACTATCAATACAAGCAGAGGAAGGGAACCTGAATGGACAAGTAGAAATGACATCTTAGCGATGCTACTCTGAGGTATGCTGTAAGCCTTGCACAGTGATTTCCAGTCTCTGTGTGAACACGAAGCAAAGTACACAGATTAACAGCAGTTATTGTCCATACTGATCTTTAATGCCATACTGTGTTCCATAGGGATAAGAAGGGCTGCTCCAGTGCCCTTGAACAAAAGATTGCTCCTTGTTTTCCCACGGCTGTACGCAGAATTACTGTGGTCTGAATATGCAGAATTACTCCAGGTCTGAAGTGGCTGAGTTTCAAAAGCACCTAGTATATTCACTATGGATAATGCAAGTGATTCCTCAGACTGAAAGACTTGTGAAAACGCATTCTGTGCAAGAGAAGACTTCAGGAATGAGTTGGAATCAGTGCCTAGGTCTCAGCAGG